ACCTAGGGGGAGAGGGAGGATTATTATTAAAAAAAAGAAATTATTCCTCAGGGCCAATCATGAGAATAGAGATACTAGGAGGGTCAGGGTAAGGTGTGGGGAGAGAGGGGAAACCGAACACAATGATCTACATAGAACCCCTTCCTAGGGGGATGGACAACCAAAAAGTGGGTGAAGGAAGACAGCGGTCGGTGTAAGACAGACGGGGGTGGGGGGAATTTATAAATGATCAAGGGTTTATGAGGGAGGGAAGGTGGGGGAAGAGGGAAATGAGGAGCTGATCGCAAGGGCTCAAGTAGACAGAAAACGTTTTGAAAATGATGATGGCAACCTATATACAAATGTGCTTGACACAATGGATGGATGGATGGATTGTGATAAGAGCTGTTAAGAGGCCCCAAGAAAATGATTTTTTTTTAAATCACCTGGGGCTGTTAGGTCTTGACCCCCATCCTCACTTGTTGCTCTAAGTAGGAAGAAGCCAAGGAAAAACATCTGCTTCCTTAACCACCACACCTTGACCTGCACTGAAAGACAGAACCCCAAACTTCTCTAAAATCAACAAGCAGACTTCCCTGAGGGTCCATTTGAAGAATGCCACCACCGAGCCCACCCAGACACTCAGCAAGGCTACTGCAAACTGCTATAGAAGGGGGCCTGCAAACAAAAGAAAGAGAAGCAGCAGCAGCCTGCAAGCGAGTGCCATCTTACTAACCCTTCTGTCTGCCTCCCTGGGCACCGCAGTGTCAGGCCTCTGTAACCAATAGGCAGGCATCCTTAAGGGCGAATTTGAGTCTCTTTATTCCCCATCTGGAAACACTTGCTTTAGACCCACGAAACTTCGCAGTCGTATAACAGCCGATCGACAACACTCTAGACAAGGGAGAGACCATGAGAACTGGCAGAGAAAGAGCAGCACCTGACCTGGGATACCAGGAGGGCATGGCTGAGCCACACTAAGCTCTCAGAAAACAGGGAAAATCACACACAGCTTCAAAGTCGAGCTTTAACATACCATAAAACAGACACTCGCGGGGTAGCTGGTTTCTTAAAATGCTTACATTCGAACAGTCATGCAGGCTTTGTACATACTTGTTCTCCTCCCATTTGCCTTTCTAGCTCTAAGTCAAAGTACGGATCATGAAGTAATTTGAAGAGTCATTCGGATAAGCAGTTACATTGAAGGGTTTCCGACGAATAAAACAAATTGTTTGAAATGCTGAGTGGAAAACATGATATGCTCTATAAACCTTCACCTAATTCACAAGGAAATGGTTTTGTTTTTTTTTTCTTCCAAATCAATCCAAATATATGATAAATAGCATGGGATTAAAGTCATTCAATGACCACTTCTCTCCCTCTCAGAATGAATACTGTGGCCATACAATGTTGCAAAGGACATTTTAAGACTTTTTTCATGGGCTCATTCCCCAAATAACACCTGTTATTCAAGATGCACCCTAAGGGGCTGTCGTCTGGAACAGAGCCCT